GGTGGGGTGGCCGATGTCCGATATTCAGTTTTAAGGCCGATACCGATAGGGGGCCCATTATATCGTGCATCCCTATAAATAATGGTTCAAATGAAAGAGTAGAATGATTTAAATATCATGTTTTAGGGAGTTAAAACACAAAATCTGAATTCCTGGGCTTTGTAGCATGAAATAAAACACTTAAAGAAGGAAAATGAAAAACCTGTTTCTTATTCCAACGTTTTATATTTTAATATCAGCAATAAAGGAGCCTGCTGCAGATCTTATGGCAACATTTAGGCCTCATTTGGCCTGTTGTTGTTTGCTCTCTGTAAATGCACAGTTAGGTTGGTTTATTTTCTGTTTCCCAAATGATATAGATTCATTAAAGCTATAGAAGCGTTTAAAAATTAGGTCAAATTTGTTTGAAACGGCTTGTTTTTACTTTAGTTGAATCCATGACATTATCTTGTAGAGAATCAAGTGTTCAAATTTATTGACCTTTCAAATAATTGCTTTTATACTTATTGAATATATATTTTTTTTTTGTTTATCTGGTTTTATCAGCTTTTAACCTTTAGCTTCCACGCAAGCGAACAGTCTAATTTCCTGAGTGAATACCCGGAAAATGGCTCAATTTCTTATATTGAGTGCTAGTTTCAAATGAATGACTAATATCCCCGTCATTCAAGTTAAAATTGGATTGAGCTGATTTAGAGTTCAGACTCTGCAAAGAAATACAATTAGTATTTTTCCTTTTTAAAAGCCCTTCAGTATTATTCATTTTTCCACTCATTTCTTTTACTTTAAAGTCTCTTACGGGATTATAAGTCTGCAAAAAGATAATAGCTCAAAGTCTGGCTAAGCTCAAATGTTTTGAACTTTAGCTTTTACTCCTTAATACTCTGAGACTTCAGCAGAGCAGCTTTGTGTTTATTTGCAGTCACACATCTAAAAGGGTGATATTTGTAGAGGCAGTTTGGTGCGAGGGCTGAAGAAGGGGAGTGATTGTGAAATCCAGGCACTAACAGGCTGTCACCAGCCCCAGAACATGAGCTTTGTCCATCAACAAAGGCCTCTTTCACATCCAGAAATGCAAATAGTTTCTTCTCTTTGTCGAGTGTTAAGATGATTGATGTTTGCTTGCAAAATGATTGGTTTTCCAATTTCTTTTTTTGCTTCTAGTCTTCATTTAGAAATGTGTCATTTTCACTGTAGGTGGTGGAAGAAAGGTCGGCACACACCTCGTATGACGTGGGGTTGGAGGCGGAGAGAACAGCACTGGAGAAGCTTGCAAGTGTTCAACATGAACAGGTAGGAAGAAACATGAATGTTTCCACATTACAACAAAATCCTCAATTCCTGTAGATAAATGTTTTTAAAACTGAGCGTTTTCCATCAGAAATAAACGTTTTGGTTGAAAAACAATCAAATTACATCTAAATCTTCCTGGTAGATCCCAACTTTAACTTTGTGGGGGGAAAAGTACAGCGTAGACACTAGGGCTCCAACTAACCATTATTTTGCAAATTGATTGATCACTTCATTTATTTTTTCAATTAACAATTTTTGATGCTTGTACAAGTTTAGTTCTGACGCGCGGCTGAAGCATATTTGCTGCTCGGTGGAAAGTGGGTCTGAAGCATGTTCGGCGGAGCTATCCTATCCTTTCTTTGCCTGGAACAATGGCAGCTATATTTGCTGTGATCAGTGGATAAAAAGTAGTTTTAATATAGTTTTAAGTGAGAAAGTCCACCTGAAAACGTCATCTGTGCAGTCAGTTCATCAGGATTATGGTCCTGCCTTTATAAATGATTTCTCTGTCGGAGCTGCTCAGACCCCCGTACACCAGCGGTGCGCTGTCACTGAGAATCCCGTTCAACAGCAGCCTCTGGCCCGGTTGCATGTTCGCCGGTTTCCTCTACTGTTCGCGGCTGCTGGAAGGCATCCTTCTTGTACGTAATCCAAACTGCAGGCACCAGGATAATAAGATTGAACATATTTTGCTTGCCAGTTTCGACCTTTTAAGTTAATTAAGGCGTTAATAAACTGTTTCAGAGGAGTGATCATAGCGCTCTGCATCAGCAGCTCTGTGTCTGACTCCCTGCCAGCTCCCAGATCAGCTTCTCTGATTGGTTGATGCGGCGCGTCCAGCAGGAAAAGTTACATTTTTCCAACTCCAGCAGCTGCTTTTTCTGAAGCGCATCAGATGCTCTGAAGCTCATGACAAAATGGTCCTGCTGCTCAAAACGCACCGCAGGACCATTTGCAGCACGTCAACAGTTGACTTTGCATGGAAACTAGCTGCTCCTGCTGCTTGTGGCCTGAATGTAGCATTAGTGGGTTCCTCTGTCAGCTAAAGGCATGTTTTAGAGTGTCTATACTCCAGTTAACAATTAATCAATTACTAAATTAGTTGAAGATTTTTTTTTCATTATTATTTAAGCCCTAGTAGGTGTTTTTTCTTAGCCAAAGCATTGTTGCAGAGTTTTACCTACATCATTGCTCATGCATCTTTCTGTTGTATTTTGCAGACTGTGAATCATTTGGAAGCAGAGACAGAACAGACCAAGGAAAGCCCAGAATTAGATATTATACCAGTTCTACATGAGCCAGAACTTCCCGCAGAGCCTCAGGCTCACTTTGACCCGCAGACCGACACACCAGACCATAACCATGGCACAGAAGCTTCTGTCCTCACCACCTCAGAACCGTTAGAAGCGGCCCCTGCTTCGACAGAGGCTGTAGCCCAAGCAGAGTCCTGCAGCGAGGATCCCCCTGCTCAGCCCCGCTTGGACTCAGAGTCTTCGATTTCTCCAGATGAAGCTGAAAACGTTGCTACCTCAGAGAGTGCTGGACTCGCCCACACAAGGTAAGTCTGCATCCTCTGTAAACTACTCCTCTGCTTTAAATGTCACCTTAGATGGTATCCATTTTATTTGAGATTTTTCTTGGTTAACTTTTGTTTTCCCACAGTTTTTTATTGTTTTATATTTTTCATTTTAACCCCAAAAACTGCTGATTAAAAGAAATTAAACAAGCTTTTTTTCCACCTTGGACAAAACTGTTAAAGGATCTGGTGTCCTGCTTTGAGAAGCTTAATGACAGTCCTGGCACTTACTGTTTGCTTTATGCCTGATGGACTTTGTGATGGAAGTTCATGAGGAGTTTGGAAAGTCAACAATGTGGACGTGAAGCTGAACTTGAAAGACAACCCTCGTCGGGACATTTGAGACCTTTCTAGACTTTGTTATGGTCCGCTTCACCAGCCCTACAGACCAACCTCTGTCCCCACCTTCAGTCCTTTTCCATTTCGCTCTCAGTCTACCCCCCGCCCCCTCTCCCTTTCTTTGTCTTCTCTTCTCTCTGCCCTCTCCAGTATTAGGAGGTGTGGTAAACGCCATGTCCTGTTTTTTCCCTCAGTGCAGTGTGGGTTGCCAGTGCAGGAGATGAACTCCCAGTAGACAGCTTTGTGTTTGCTGAGCACTCTGATTCACAGTGCAGGGTCATTCCCCCCGAACTGGCAACCTGTGAAAACTCCCCCTTTGGCAGCCCTCTCCTCAGGTAAGTTTCTATACATTGGAAGCCAATCAAAACAAAGAGGCGGGTAATCAAGGTAGAAGCTGCTCCTCTCTGCTCTGCGCAACCATCAATTGCTGACCTTTGCACTACATTTATGCTTTATTTTATGTTTAATTTCATCCAGTTGATTTGCTTGCTCCAACCCAAAACTATTTGGAAAATAACTCCCACCTTTGACTCCTTATTTCTAACGTGTTTGGAGAATAATTTCTTTCTCTATATCCTTCCTCTTCTCCCTTCCCCTCCGTTGACCCCCTGTCTGTGATGCAGCGTGGATGAGGCTGGTACAGACGACCAGTTAAGTCAAAGCCAGAGCTCTGATCTTGAAGCTAAATCCAAGCAGACCAGTCCAGGAATTGCAGTTCCTGAAGCAGCAGAACCTGGAAGCCTGAAAGAACCGCAGCTGCTGGAAGATGTTCTGTCCAGTTTGGAGCAGGAGGGCAACACTTCCCACCTGGTCAGTTTCTAAATGCTTCAGTAAAGACAAATTACATAGAAATCTGACACGGAATGACGGGTTCTTTATTATTTTTGCTTTCAACATTCGACTATTGCTGGATATAATTGAAATGTTTTATTAATTTTAGAAGTGCAAATCATTTTATGATTTCACCCCCTTGGATTGTTTTGGTTTTAAATTGGCACACCGCCAAAAATTGAAATCAAAGTCAAATTTTCTTACATTAAGTGAGTTTTTTCTTGCCCATGGAATAAGATAATTTACATTTAATTTACATCTTATTTCAAGTGAATAATATCTAAACGTATTTTAAGACTAAACTTACTCATTCCATTCGCAGATCATCGTATTTACCCGCTTAAATTAAGGGTAAATATACCTATTTTAAGATCGTTTTTGTAGTGTATTAACCTATTTTGCATCAGGGATTCACTCTCTCATCCACACAATGTGTGACGTCTCCCCTGCTCCTGAAATAATAGAACTTTAAAGTAAATTCATTAAAGTGAGCCATATTTCAAGGCAAGGCAAATTTATTTGAATATCGCAATTCAGTACAAAGACAATGCAAAGTGCTTTACATGATTAAAATATAGGAAAATAAAACAGAATCAAAGCAAGTAGGAAAAATAATGCAGAAACAAAAACGAACATTAAAAAAACAGTTGGACTAAAGAAAATAAAAAAGTTGAACTAATAATGTTTCAGTTGAACTGTTTAACTAAAACAGTGGAAGGCAATCCTAAACAAATGTGGTTTTAGTCTTGATTTAAAGGAACTCAGGCTTTCCGCACTTTTACAGTTTTCTGGAAGTTTGTTCCAGATAAGTGGAGCATAGGAACTAAATGCTGCTTCTCCATGTTTAGTTCTGGTTCTAGGTCTGAAGAGCAGGCTGGAGCCAGAAGACCTGAGTGGTCTGGAGGGTTGATACACTGATAGCAAGTCTGTGATGTATTTAGGTGCTAAGCCATTCAGAGATTTATAACAGAAGTATTTAAAGTCTATTCTCTGAGATACAGGGAGCCAGTGTAAGGACTTTAGAACTGGGGTGATTTGCTCTACTTTCTTAGTCTTAGTGAGGACACGGGCAGCAGCGTTCTGGATCAGCTGTCTGATCCACTTTTTAGGCAGACCTGTGAAAACACCGTTGCAGTAATCAATTAGACTAAAAATAAACGCATGGATTAGTTTTTCCAGATCATGCTGAGACATTAGTCCTTTAATCCTGGAAATGTTCTTCCGGTGATAGAAAGCCGACCTTGTAATTGTCTTTAAACGCTTTTGGAGGTTCAAGTCTGAATCCAGCACTACATCTAGATTTGGGGCCTGATCAGTGATTACTAGCTTAAGCGACTGAAGCTGTGTGCTAACTTTAGATCTCTCCTCTATTGGTCCAAAGATTATTACTTCAGTTTTGTTTTCATTCCGATTAAAGAAAATTATGGCACATCCAGGCATTGATTGAGTTCATAGTCACCTGGTGACATGGTGATGTAAAGCTGTGTGTCGTCTGCATAGTTATGGTAGCTGATGTTTTTTATTAATTGAGCAAGAGGGAGCATGCAGATATTGAATAGGAGGGGACCCAGGATGGACCCTTGGGGAACCCCACATGTGATTTTTGTCATCTCTAATGTAAAGTTGCCTACCGACACAAAAAAGTCCCTGTCCTTTAAGTAGGATTTAAACCAGTTGAGAGCTGTACCAGAGAGGCCTACCCAGTTTTCCAGGCGCTCTAACAGGATGGAGTGATCGACAGTATCGAATGCTGCACTGAGGTCCAATAGTACCAGCACTGTGGTTCTTCCGCAGTCTGTATTTATACGGATGTCATTAAACACCTTGATAATGGCGGTCTCTGTACTGTGGTGAGCACGGAAACCTGACTGGAACACGTCAAAGCGGCTGGTCATATCTAAGAAAGTGTTTAATTGTTTCAAAGGTAATATAGTGAACCAGGTATCACCAGTTTGGACAATAGGATAACTGATTGATACCTGATTGTTTTATCCCTGCTCCAAACAAGCAAAAATGCTGACTATAAGAAGCAAAAACAGTTCAGTCATATTCACCTATGGCCCATTTTGAATCTGCCTCCTTTTAGGGAAAAATGGGGACATAAAGTGAACCAAAAATATAAAGCCATTTATGAGTCGATTAAAGAACAAACAGAAATCTCCAACTGACCCCTTTCAGATTCAAACTGCAGCATCTTCACTCTACAGTTAGTGGCTGAGTGTTTTTAATATTGTTTAATACATCCTTCCTTACTGAAGGAAAACTAGGACATGTATTAGTTACTCCATTACTAATCATATTTGTCAGAATTTGTTTTTCTAAATTTAAAGCTAGGATCCAATGACTAATCTCTCTGTATCTGGCAAGGATTCTTCTCTGGGTGTTTATCTCTAGGAGATTGCCTTATCCAGTAGATTTCTAAGCTCTTGTGAGATCTAGAAGGTCACTTATATAATACATAAAAAAAATGTTTCCACCTCAGTGGATCTCCATGCTTCAATGACCAGGGGCTAGCTGAGCACAGAGTCGGAAATGAAAGCCTGTCTGTCTGTCTGTCGTTGCACGATTCTGAGCTTGAATGCTTTGAGAAATTAGTTTTAATTTGAATGCTATGTAACTGATGCTAATTAAGTTCATAGCTGGCATTCACTGCCCCTTTTTTGTTTCAGATGGCAGATTCTAGCGTTGCTAAAGAAGCTGATCCCTCTGTACCCAGTAAAGATGACATCCCCACCTTTGATGAGTGGAAGAAACAGGTCATGGAAGTGGAAAAGGAAAAGAGTAAGCACATAAAACCCCGATGCAAAAACATTTGTCAGGTTCTGCAAAATTTAGAGCAGATAAAATGGTGCAATAGATGCGATCTGTGTTTTATTTAGGGCTGGGCAATTAATTGCGTTTGCAATATAATCACAATTTAATAAAACACAGTTTTCATATCACAGATTTTTAATCACACTTTATTTAACAAGAGTAGGACACTACATTTCTTGTTTAGTTGGTGGTTAAACGCTACAAAAAGGTAGAGAAATTTGCTACTAGCCTGCAGATCCATGCATGCAAGTAGAAGTAAACACTTTTTCACACAATGGTTACAGTGAAGTCCTGTAAAAAGGGCCTCTGAGCAAACAGGCTCTTAAATCTACAAGCTTGGGGTTAGTGATAAGGAAAATTTAAATAAAATCATAATTTTGGTTAAATAAAATAAAAAAAAATAAGGAGGATGTTGAGGAACATTATTTGGAGGGAAAATCTCTATTTTAAGGTCCAGATTTAGTGAATCTCCATTTCTATTAGATGATCTTTTATAATGATAATTTCACGGCTTATATTTTGCACAACATCCCAGCCTGCTTTGGTTTTAACTAGGGCTGCTACTAACGATTATTTTGCAAAATGATTATTCTATCAATTATTTTTTCGATTATTCGATAAATAATTTGATAGAAAAGGTTCCTTAAAGAAGATTTTTTACAAAATTAAACCAGGAGAAACTAAAACAATTCCACATAAGGAGTTCTGGATAGATCATGTTAAATGACGAAAAATGTATAGATATATATTCTAATTTTTAGTGAAAAATGTTGATATTTTTTTGTTTTTGTTTTGATATAGTTACTGCTATAAGTGCTTAAAACATGCCTTTAGCTCTGTCAGCTAAAGGCATGTTTTATGCTGCCCTATATGTATGTAGCGGAGCTACCTTTGCTTTGCCAGGAACAATGGCAGCTATATTTGCTGTGATCAGTGGGTAAAAAGTAGTTTTAATATATTTTAAAGTGAGAAAGTCCTGAAAACTTAATCTGTGCAGTCAGTTCATCCAGATTACCATCCTGCCTTCAAATATTTCGCCGGCGGTCCCCTTAAACAGCAGCCTCTGGCCCGGTCATCTCTTCATGGTTTTCCGCTACTGTTGGCGGCATCTGCATGTAATCCAAACTGCAGGCACCAGGATAATAAAAGCAAACTTATTTTGTGAGCAGGTTTCCATATTTTAAGTTAATTCAGGCCTTAATAAAGGGGAGCGATCATAGCGCTCTGCATCAGCAGTGCTGCGTCTGACTCCCTGCCAGCTCCCAGATCAGCTTCTCTGATTGGTTGATGTCCAGCAGCTAAAGTTAAATTTTTCCAACTCCAGCAACTGCTGCCATCTGAAGTGCGTCAGAGGCTCATGGGGCGCTGCTCCTGCTGCTCAGACGCACTGCAGGACCTTTTGCTGTGCCTCGATGCGTGTCAACCATTGACTTTGCATGGAAACTAGCTGCTTTGGCTGCTTGCTGCCTGAACGTAGCATTAGAGTCCCTATAATCCAGTTAATGATTAATCCATTACTAAATTAGTTAACAATTATTTCGGTAATTTATTAGTCTCGGCTCTAATTTCAATTCTTGGATTAAACTCCAGTTCACAGCAGGTTTGTGATGACCATTTTATAACCAGCAGGATCAAACTGAGCTCTAAAAACGATCGACACATTAAAACTCTTCACCCACTTTTAAGATGCTTTCACTTGTATCACCACAGAGGGTTCATGGAGAATACTTCCCAACTGTTGAACCTTCTTCCTTTTAGGTCAGACTCTCCATACTTCGACCAGCGGCGGCCCGCATTCAGCCAAGAAGGTCCAGAAAAACTTTAAGAATAACTACGCCTCTGTGGAGTGTGGTGCAAAGATCCTGTCTGCCAACAATGAGGCCAAGGTTAAACACTTTTCTCTGCTGCTACCTATAAACAAACGTATTTATGCTGTGGCTTTGTGTAAGAAGAGAAATTATCATGGTTTAACACTGTTTGGAGGAATATGATGTTATCGTGGCAGTGAATGATCAATTTCACCATTTCTTCTCAGAGTACTTCAGCTATTCTAATGGAAAACATGGACCTTTATATGCTAAATCCATGCAGCACAAAGATCTGGTATGTGCTCTGCTGCATTTCTGCTATGCAGCTTTTGCAAAGCTTTCTTTTTTTTAACAAGCATTTCCTTCTCCTCAGGTTCGTGATCGAGCTCTGTGAGCCGATTCAAGTCAAACAGCTGGACATAGCCAACTTTGAGCTTTTCTCTTCAACACCTAAAGACTTTTTAGTTTCCATCAGTGACAGGTACTGTAAGCCCTCTTAGATTCCTGCTTGTTAACACCACGATTTCTGAGCTCACAAATCAAGTGTCTGGGCACACCTGCTTATTTAAATGTCAGTCAGCTGTCAATCCTTGTGTTTTCAGCGAGAGTTAAAGCTACATAGTTGTCATTTCCCATGTAAAGCTAAACTATACATCATGCAGAGAAAACACAACAAACTCCTCTGACTCATGGTTGCATTTAACTCTGTGAGGACAAGCTTTGAATGGATTTTATGAGATAAACTAATGCAAAGCAGGCAAATCTGATGAGAGGCAGATGATTCATGCTTTTAAATGAAGAGAAATATGCATAGAAAGCGTGACACTTTCTGACCTCTGACTCGATTATAGCTCCGAGTCTTTAAAGTCACATTGAAAGTCAAGTTTCTTTTTTTTCTATTCCATAAAAAATGACCTCAGATCAGTAAGATTGAAAGGGAAATAAAGGTCCGGTTCAATAAAAATATGTACATCTCAGATGTTTAGCTAGGAATATCTGATAGGGTGTACATCTTGGTGTTTTACATCTTTAGGCTTTGTGCTGTGTGGGGGGGTCTGGGGGTACCCTCCACCAGAAAATGTTGAAATCTAGACTCTCTGAAATGCTACTTCCTGCATTTTGAGGTGGAATGCAGCAAACTTTTTGTCTTTGCTCCAACACTACTTTAGTCCTGATTATGGGAAGTATTTTTGCTTGACTACAGGTGGAAATTTCATAAGACATGAGGTAATTTTTAAATACAATATTATTTTTCAAAGGTTAATTCAAACAATCGGAAAGTGTAAAGCTATGGTCACATTGATATGGAGGGCCACTGGAAAAAAAAAAAAAAGTTAACTGATTTTTTACTTTTATTTCAGTTTAATATGGGGAAAAACAGTCAGAATTCTGACTTTTTTTCTCAGAATTCTGACTTTTTTCTCAGGAATTCTGACTTTTTTTTTCTTCTCAGAATTCTGACTTTAATCTCAGAATTCTGACAGCTAACAATCATGTTAGCATCAAGCCATAGCCATGTCTGTTTTAGAGACTAGCTCTCTTGTTTTAATGACCTTCTGCTCCTCCATTAATGAGGGGACCCCTCGGGTACGTAAAAAGTTGCCTAATTCTGTCATTTTCCACCAATGTGTCACTGGCCACCTCAAACAACTCACATCTTTGTCAGTGAAGCTGAGTGCTCCACATCTCTTCCTTCATGGTGCCCATCTACATTAAGATCCAAAATTCTGAGAAAAAAAGTCAAAGAATTCTGAGATTAAAGTCAGAATTCTGACATTTTTCCCCATGTTAAACTGAAATTTGATTTAAAAATCAGTAAACTTTTTTTTTACCTTTTCCCTGGCCTCAATCCTCTTCCGTACATTGAGGCAGCTGCGTCTTTTGATGCTTTTCACCATTTAGGTCAGACGTCCAGTAAAGTGTCTCCAGAAGCATCTGATGCCTTCTGCTGCTGCTGTGTTCAATGGCAGAGAGCAGCTTTGTTATATTTGCTTTCATCAGTGGGTAAAAACTAGTTATATTATATTTTTATGTGAGAAAGTCCACCTGAAAACATGGTTTGTGCAGTCAGTTTATCAAGATTACAATCCTGCCATAAAATATTATTTCTCTGTGGGAGCCGCTCAGACCCCCACATACCGGCGGTGCGCTTTTCACTGGGAATCCCCGAGCAGCATGTAGGTCAGAAATTTTAATTTTAGTCTCATCTAAAGGCAGCATCTGCTCCCTCTCATTCGCCTCTTACTCTACATTGCTTGTGGCAAACTTCTAATAAGACTTCCTGTGTTTTTTTATTAAAAAAAACTTTCTTCCTGCCATTCCCCACAGGACACGTTTATTAGTTCTGAGGTTAGATTTCCTCTAATTAATAATTATATTAATTCTGATGGCAGCTATTTAATAACTTTATAGAATTATATCTTCATTGGTGCAGCTATAAACACCATGACGGTGACTCAGTTTAATTCCTGTGATTGTTATTTCTATTTAAGGTCAGTCGACAAAACAGACCTGCAGACGTAACAAGTGCAGTGTTATTTACATGGACCCTGTGAAAACATGCAGCCACAGACGTATGTTTCCCCTCTTTATGTTGCAGATATCCCACCAACAAGTGGGTGAAGCTGGGAACCTTCCATGCACGGGACGAACGAATAGTCCAGAGTTTCCCACTGGATGAACAGCTTTATGCTAAATATGTGAAGGTACTGGAGGTTTTCTGCTGTTTAACCAACACAGAGTTCATTTATTCTCATTTAAAATTTTATATATTGACTTACAGGAGGTACAGGTAAAAAGAAACATCAGTGGGTTTATATTTAAGACTGCTGCTTTAAAAACGGCCCAGTTCTTCCTCAAGTGGACTTCAGAGTTCAGTCAGAACATGGAACTAGTTCTGTTAAATCAGTGCTAATAACAATTCTAACGATACGGATGCAGTTTGTTGGATTATGTTTGTAATTATCCAATGTTTACTGTGAAGTTTAAAAGGATAAGTCCTGCATGGCCTTTTAGAATATTTTTTTTTTCTTTCACACTAAACAGGACTTTAAAAATGTGACCTTTGCCTTATCTGTGTTCATCTGAATGTGTGTGGCCGTAATGAATGTGCTTCTCCTCCCATCTTGCTTTTCTTAGCTTAGTATTCTTACATTTTGGCATTGTAGATGTCAATTTATGCCTTTAGCGTTAGCTTTTATTTATCTTTATGTGATGACTTAATGTTCTGAGTCATTTTTTAAATGGTTTTATGACTTAAACTAGTGTTTGTTTTTAAGTAGAGCACGTCTGGTCTTTTGTTTTTGTTTTGTTTTAGTTTTTTTCCCTATGATTTGTGCACCATTCCCCACTTCTTTATATTCCTGCAGTGCTTTGCCTGTGAAGTGAAGCTGTGCATATCAGCCGTATGTTTGTATTATCAGAAAGCTGAAATGTTTACAGATTCTTGACCTGCTTGTAGCTCAATACGTTCTTTACTGATTGCTTTTTCTTGTTTTATTTCTCTCTTACCCTGTCCCTCTCCTGCTCTTCTGCTCACATCAGATGTTCATCAAATACATAAAGGTTAGAACTCCTCTCCTGCTGTCAGAGCCTCAGATTCGCTAGAAATATGGTCTCTGGATGGGTGATTTACTTTAATGGATGGAGATTAAACTAGACTTTTTCCATTAATGCATGTGGAGGGGTTATCAATTAGAGGACGTTGGTTTATGAGGGTGGCAGATAAAGGCTGTTTTTAACATTTGGAATTGAAATGATTATTATTAGATTAGCAGTTTCTTTTTTCCCTGCAGGTTGAACTTCTCTCTCACTTTGGAGCCGAACATTTCTGCCCCCTGAGTCTCATCAGGTAGGAGCTTCAATTCCTGAACAATTCAAAGCTCAAGTTTTTTTTTTCTTCTAATATTTGAGTCAGAATCACTCAAGATTGTAAAAGAATGTTCAGTTTTGTGATATTTTATTTTTTTTCTAATATTTGAGTCAGAATCACTCAAGACTGTAACAGAATGTTCAGTTTTGTGATATTTTATTTTATTTTTTTCTACGGCTGCATGTTAAATGTGGATTTCACGGCTTATAGCAGCTTTAGTTGATTGATGTTCGTCCCTCGGGCAATTTTCGCATTTCAAAGCAGAGCTTTTTACATTAGCAATATTTGCCTACTTTGAAAGTATTTTCTGTTAATGGGTGGGAAGTACATTTAGGAACCAGTTTAACGACCTAAATATGTCTTGTAAAAATCATGTTATTTAATCCCTCTGTAGTTTTAACCTTTTGAGTCTTTCTCTTGTACAATAATTCAGATATGCAAAAACTCATAGCCATTAAGTTAAATCTCCTTAATGTGTTGGTGTCCTAAGTCAGTCCTTAAAGTTCGCTGTTCTGCAGGTTTTAGATGTAAATTAGTGTAATTCAGCAGGGAGACATCCAAAACCTGCAGGACAGCGACACTCGGACTGATTTTAGACACAATAAATGTACGCTGCCTTTTTTATTTCCAGGGTTGTGGCTCTAGTTTTTCACAGAAACGCACATCAGTGCCTGTGAGGTCACCAGGGGCTTTTAAACATAATTAAAATGGCCATAAAACCCACATAATGAAGCAACTCTGCTCACTCCAAGTAATATAAACAGCAGCTTTTCATTTATGCGCAGAAACCTTCAGCATTTAGTAAGAAAAGATTAATATCTTTGGCGATTTATAAAGTTATGATCTCAGAAGTGAATTCTGCAGAAGCTTTAAACCTAAAAAAAAAGCCCAAAAAAATATTCTCCATTTCTCTGGAGAGCAATTTTTGTATTTTATAGTTTGAAGCGATTTTTGCTTGTAAAATGATGTTGTGCTTACAGATGTCTACATTAGGAGGAATATTCTCTCCATTCATAGTGGGCTCTGTTTTTAACCCTTTATATCTTTATCCATCATCTGCGGTCCTCTGAGACCTGCAGCATAGATTTATATTACACTAGAAAAATGAGCTAGAAATAAGTAAACATTTCTTAAACTAAGTGTATTTATTTAATTTGAGTAAGTAAATGAAAGAATTTGCCAATGGAAAGGGTATTTTTACTCTTAAAATAAGACAATGTTTATATTTTAAATGTAAACATTCTTGTTCCATTCGCTAAGTGTCTCACTTTCCTCCTCAATTAAAGAAAAAAATGCAGTTATTGTAAGAAAAAATGACTAATTTAGATTATATTATTTTGCAGTGTACTGCTGCTCTCATGAACGCAGCAGATGAAGAAAGTTCAGCTCCAACCATTAACAGAAAAAAAACTATTTTTTTGTTTTGTTTAGAAAAACAGCTGGGAGAAATCTGCTCTTTTTTTTTTTTTTTTTTTCTCCATTTTTTAACTTTTCTTATGTAATCAGGCTAGCACAAAAACGCCACTAGATCGAGACAGATCTGCAGGCTGGAATTGCTTTATTAAAGTCCACACCTAAAATGAGATTAGTGGCAAAAGTTAAAACTCCTCCTCATCTTCAGATGTCCAAATCTGGTTGAGAATTTTATGGGTCATAAATTTAAATTTGTTCAGTAAAATACCTTAATAGTTTTAGGAGATGTAAAAGATCAGCTTATTTGTATCAGGATTGCAGGACGTTTCTGTAACAGTGCTGTTGTTTAATAGGGTGTTTGGCACCAGCATGGTGGAGGAGTACGAGGAGATCGCAGATTCCCAGTATCCCTCAGAGAGGTTGGAGTATTTGGACGAAGATTACGGTAAGCTGCTGAAGTTCACTCAGCCAAAAAAAAAACTGATTCCATATTTAAATGATTCAACTGAAAAGAACAAAAGATGAATAAAAAAGTCTTTGGTTATAATAACACGTCACATTTGGAGGGCATCGTGTCTCTATCTGCTCCCATTTTTCTTTTTTTTCAGTCTTTTTTCTTAATTTTTTCTCCACCTGTATCCTCATTCTCTATAGACTACCCTCCTGGGTACCAGCCATCAGAGGAGAAGGCCTCTAAAAACCTGCTTGGTTCAGCAACCAGTACGTATCGGCTCACATACATGTCCATACAGTCACTTTACAGGATAGAGAATAAATGTGGAACAAATCTGAGAGAATAAAATAGTTCACGATATTTTTGGGGTAATTGAGGCACATTTAAACATCTAAAGCTAATTTATTTACATTTATTTATTTAATTTAAATCTGACCCTAAATCTACCAGAATACCCATCATGCATTTGGAAACCTCCAAGCCTACATGTAGTGTTGTGCCGATGCCATTTTTTGGCCCCGATACCGATACCGATACCTGGCTGTGCAGTATCGGCCGATACCATAATAATGTAAAATAATTGCAATCATGGCTTTGTCAAGCTGCTGCCTACCTTTGTGAAGCAGGAAAAAAATCTAATACAAAGTGAATCCAGTAGAAGTTTTTATTGCCTACCTGGAATGGGTGACAATAGTTGAATAAACTTATGGCTCTCAAAATGGTATCGGTGCCCTATTTGTTGGTACTCGCCGATACCGATACCACCATTTTAGGGCAGTATCGGGGCCTCGTCCGATACTAGTATCGGTATCGGTGCAACACTACCTACATGCATTCCAATTATGTTGAACTGGTATTTCTAAGGGTTGTATTTCCTTTGTATATTTCAAGTAATTTAATGTAGTCAAAGCAAAAGTGTATTCAGGGCTCGATGTTAACCATTGCCTGATCTCCCGGGGCAAGTAGTTTTTATTCTTGTGAGAGTACAAATTTCAGTGCATTTGCCCGCCAGATGGCGTGATTTTTGTCCACCTAGCGGTAATTTTGATGTAGTTACCAAAACGACGAACAAGCTAGAAAGCGCTATCATATGGCAGTCATCTGTACAGTGATGCAGGTCATATATTAAAAAATGTTCATAAATTTTTTTCTCTCAGACATTGGAGAGGTGCATTTAAATGTTATAGAGCTAAACATGTTAGATTGGTGACCTGTTATGTTATTATTATTGTCTTGTTGACGCATTTAGTTTGTCAGGGAAAACTAATCCTGAGTCAGTTAAAAGTCAGGGAACTGTGGAAACCCTGAATAAAATAACTATTATTAATGATTCTCTAGAAAAGTCACATTATATTAATAGTATTATCTTCTATAAACATACCGTGACTCTAAAATAAAAGTTATTCATTTGTGACATTGACTTCTGTCTTCTGATTTATCTGAAGTTTTTAACCTGTCAGGTTTTTTTTTAGATTTTTAACATTACAATTTATATTTTTCCAAGCACACAACAGTTTAAAGCAAAGTTTAGTTTGAAAAGAATGAGCAGGAAGGATTGAAAAGCATGTTAACACGGTAATGTAGGCTTGAGTTCATTATCTGACGCATGCAGAGACACACCAGGAACCTGGAAACTTAAAAAATACTGAAATACAAAAAACATTTTAAAAACAAACATGTTTCATTGATATATATACAAAAATGAATATTAGGAACTATATTTATCAAACATTATACTGGGCAAGTAAAAATTGTTTCTGGGCAAATGAAATGTGAAAGTCACTTGCCTAAAGGGCAAGTGGTAAAAATCCTTAACATCAACCCCTGGCATTATTCAGCTGCTGCTTTAGTTTCTTGCTAAGGCAAAGAAAGTATATTTGTTCTTTGTTTTCTGAGTATTTTCTTGCCATTTCTATCATCTAATTGCTCATTCTTTTACAAGCAGCTGCGGCTTCATAAAATAAGCAAGCAGCCGAAATTTTATGACCTCAGTCAGGTATAAACGTATTCCTCCGGTAGCAGTGTTGATGGTTTTATTGGTATTCCTACCAGCTTGCTATCAGATATAAACATATACTGCCTTCATCTAGCTGCGTAAGAGTTTGCTTGATTTTCTTTTTGTTTAGTTTTTTTTAAATGGTGCCCAAAAAACATTTTTGTCTGCATCTGTAGTTAGCAAATTTAGCACTGGAGGATCCCTCCTGAGGATGGTTTCAGAGAAAACTGAACCAATGGAAAAGTGTGTGTGTATATCAGGTTGCATAAAGAAAACGAAATGAGCAAAAAGACGTTAGCGGCGTCTTTGATGTAGGTTTGGCCTCCAGCTGTCCAGAATCACATGTGCACAGATCATTTGAAATGAAGATCTGAAATGAAGCTCCTCTTTGTTTCTTCCCCTCAGATGCGATTATTAACATGGTGAACAACATTGCTGCTAACGTGCTTGGTGGCAAGCCAGGACTGGAGGGTGCAGCAGAACTCGGAGGTAAACACTGATCGCTTTCACACATGTCAACAATCCTGATATCTTTTCACTTCATTCCTTAAAGCCTTCAACAGGCAAACTAAACTTATCTATGTACCTAACTGTCACTTTGCTGCATTCGAGGCTGCTGCAACTCCCTACTTTATTTAACTTCCAAATTTTCACCCAATCTGATTAAACCCCTTGCTTAGAACCTAAAGGATCAACCCTTTAGTAGCTGTTTATTTACAAAACCATGAATCTGATTTATTGGTACAAGCAAGGTTCTTTATTTTTTAATCAAAATTGTGATCTTATAGTTTAAAACATCCCTACGTTGTTTTGTTTTTTGTTTTTTTGTTTTTGTTAAAAAGTATTAATATCTTGACATGCTAATAAGCCTGTTAAACAATGACAGTTGAAAGAGTTTTATACTAATTTTATTCCCTTTTTCCCCACAAAATCAATCTGCTTTCTTTATGAATTTTCTTCTTTTTTTGATGCATAAAGAAAATGAGCCCAAAGTTCAAGTTTCTGGTCCCTTAATCTGGAACCAGTTGATTAAAAATGTTGGATTTTCATGTATGGACACATCTGTAGGTGCTGTCCTCCATTGTTGGCTTTGTTTTCTTAAATTCATGCATTTTCAATAGATTACCCAGCTAGATGAATTAGTCCTAACAGACTTACTGAGCAAAACGCAAAACTTTCCTTTCAGATTATTTCTCTTCCTTTTTGTTTTTCTCCATAAAAAGTGTCTTTGTGTGATGATATTCACATCCAGAGCTAAAATCTAAATTGTCACATTCTAAATCAAGAGCACTGGAAATAATTACATATTTTCATGAAAGCATTTAAAAATGCTCCCAACACCTCAAAGTTTTAATCTTTAGCTGAAGCTGTTTTTAAAAACTGGTGGATAAAGATCCTTTTGACTGTTCAGTGCAGCCACTCCTCCTCAGTAGGTAGAATGAAGCAGAACAGGTTCATCCATACATATGAACGAGTCGCTTCTGATTAGCCAAGCTTCATCCATTGAGGTTTAACTTCCTCTAAGTGTTTAGCTCTTTTCAGAAGCAATTATTCAGTTATTTCATGTTGATGCACGTCTCCACAGTGAAAGGCTGAGGGGCATTTTGAGTAACTACCTATAAAGGTTGCTTCACTGCTGTCATGTTGAAATATTTAATTCATTCATTGGAAAGAAATTAAATAACGGATGAAACTGAAAGATTGAAGAGGCGTGAATTTATGGAGGGAATCTCTATTAATCTTATTTGATCTTTTCTGATTTGTGCTTTTGTTTCTCGTGTGTCATAGGAAACCAAAAGAAAGCAAAGGTTTTGTTTTTATAATTATTAAGACGTGAATATTTTAGATTTGGGAATATTTAATATGGTAATTAGCAATTTTGAAAAAAATCACACTAACATGAATAACAAAAAATTTGTAGTTCATTAGTGAGGACGACTCCACTTCATCGTCTTCTGGCTAAAATTACACAGAGAATAATTCCATTAAATGCTACAGCAGGACCTGCTTTGCTCACCATCATATTATCCAGCATATTTCCTACAATATATCAAAGAGTGATGGAGGAGAAGGCTTCATGGTCTGTAAAAGGAGTCAAGTTTAAGCCGGTGCAGGTACCAGATCTGCTCGGGTCCTGCTTCATGCCAGTGACGTTACTCTACATGATTGGCTGAACTTTACCGCATGATCTAAAACATTGTAGTTTCCCAGACAACGATAATAACATCACGCAGAGTCGGGAGCATCTGCAGCGTTAGCGTGTCTAATGAAGGACAAAGTTTTACCTGATCGATAACAAAACTGAAACAAATCTGTTCCTGGTGAAAGTAACAGTTAGACCAGGCTCTAAAGGGGGGAGAACTGGTTAGCGCTGTGGCTAGCTGTGTTCAGTAGCAAACAGGTTAGCCTCTTTTAGCTCGGTCAGTTTGCCATGCTATGCTACACTACTTTTAAATTTGCGTCAACAACAATTTGTTTCCTACAAGTAAAATAACTGTTTTATTTGTCTAAGATCTCTATGAAAGTCATTTTTTACGACGTTCCATTTGTCCTCCTCTGTCCTCAGATCTTAATAAAAAGAATAAAGATAAGCTGAGATTTTTGGTCAACTTGTTAAATGGCAGAGCTCAGTCCTAGAGCAGCACTTTCCTTCAAGACTTACAATGATTGTTTTCTACTTTCGGCTACTTTAGATCACCAATTAAATGTAAAATAATAGCAAATACAAGTTATAATATGTTTAGACTCAATAAGAGATTTGATCCCTAAGAAACTGTCCGAGTGGAGTTGCCATACGTTGACGTTATAAGAAGAGGCAGGGCTCCGAGCAGATCTGCTACCTACAGGCATACGCTGTGCAATTTTCTTTGCCCTTTTCGGGTCGCTTCCCCAGTCATGCGAGAATTTTTTGGATCGGGCCGAGCTTCAGCCCCATGATGCATCGTGTTAAATACAGGAGGTAAGGAAGAGCTATCCATCCTCACACAACCACCTCCCAATTAGCAATCGTAAGGTCGGAAGAAAATCAAACATGTGAGGTGTTCTTGGGTAAAGCATTGGATGCTTCAACAACAGGTTCTGCAACAGCTTCTTCCCCAACGCCATCAGAATGATGAACTGTTGAAAAAAAAACTCTCAATCATGCCACCAATTTTGCATCACGCTGACACCACCAAACCAAAACACTGCATAATTGCACGATATATATTAATGCTCTGAACTTCCAGATCAAGGTAGTTTTTTTGCACCATGTCTTTACTCCCACATTGTTTATATTTGATCACTGCTGCATTTTAATAAATTGAAATGCCATGAAAGCTGTACAAAACGAAATTTCAATAAAAGTCTAAGAAGCAGAGCTACAGTAGGAGCCGATTTAGCCGAACCTCATGCACTGCGCAGATGGAAACGAGGGAGTTCTTCTTCGTCCTTCCAGATTAACGAATTTGACCGGCGCCGAGTCCCACGGTTGGTTTTGGGACGTGCAGTGTGAGCAGGTAGATCACAACAGAGCATCAGGCCGTACTCAAATACATCGTGAGCTGTGAACTTTTAAACTCAGTGATTTCATTGTACAGTTTGAGCTGTAGACTTCGTACAACGCTTAAAAATATCGTACAGTGTATGCCCGACTTTAGGCAGATCTGGTCCATATAATATAACTAAGAATCCACAAAACGGGGTTAGATTTGATTGATTTACAAACACTTTAAAAACGAGACTAATTTTAGAATACGGAGTGACAAGTTTAGGTCATAATCATTCCAAAAAAGTTAAACAATCCACTGGATTTTGTTTCCAAGTTTGAAGACGTTTCTCTTCCATCCAGGAAGCTTTTTATTTTAAACTCTAAATGTCAGAAATAGTTCCAGGTTTTATACAGTAGACCAAAAAGCCGTTGTTTTAGTTTAGAAAACAAACAGGATGAACGGGTCCACCCTTTTGCAATGGTGGTCATTTGGCTTCTTTTGTTAGCCTGCAATACCCCATACCTGTCTATGTCTCTGAAAGGGGGATCGTTAAAGGGAATTGGTTCCCTGGCTCCCATTCCAAAGGGGTGGAGCTGTTGGTCTGTTTCAATTTGCATGTTTTCTAAAGGCTTTGTTGGGCTACTTTAAAAGAGCCTTGAACTCAATGCTATTTGAAATGAAAAAGCTTCCTGGATGGGAAGTGAAATGTCTTCAAACTTGGAAACAAAGTCCAGTGGAGTGTTTTTTAACTTCTGGAAGTTTAGATAGCGATGTGTGATCTTTTCTTTCTTAAGCATCAATGGGACGTCCTAGTTTTTTCTGAAAGTTGCCAAACAAACAGAACCTCGAAGATGTTTCAGATTCAACACAAACACAGTTCCTCTTTTTGCTTTCTCTGCTTGTTTCTCCTCTGTGAACCATTTCCTGCCTTTCATTATCTTTTACTGACCAACAGTTTGTCTCTCCACATATTGTTCAGATAACCATTGAAGACTGTGTGGCTTCACACACAGTGAGCGCTACAGGATCCAGATATTTACTCTGCTTCCAGCCTGTTTTCCACCTCTTTGCAGAAACCTCAGCTATGCTGGGACAGCGGGGGGGCTGACGCCAAGCCCTCTGGTAGTTCTCTTTACCACATGGAGAGGTTTCTGAACATGACTCATCCCTTTTACGCCACAGTCATGCTTTATGGGGGGGGGTTTGACACATTAAATGTGATATTTTTAGGCGAAAGTGAACAAAGAGGACGTGGAAAAAGAGAAAATGTATTTAAGCAACAGAAATAAGACAAATTTCTCTTGGCTTTTCTTACAATAGAGTGTCTGTTGCTCCTGGCTCCTCACAGCTGCCAGTCTGATTCCAATTTACAGCCTCAAAGTTTGAGGCAGGCTGAAGGAGAGCTCAGTTCAAACTGGCTTAAACTGGTTTCCCTTTACAAGGAGCCGCGGCTCCTGGCATACTGGGCAGTGTTGCTGCATTTTCTTTACCTCAAAACTAGGAAGTCGGATCTATATGATCTCTGAGTTGATGGTGTTCCAGTTTCCTGCTTGGAAACTTAGAGTTTAATTGCTCGTTGCTTGTATATTGCAACTCCAGCCACTGTTAAAACAATAACACTGTTCTACACCATATTTTATGAACATAAACAGCGTTGAAATATCTCGTCTTGGAAATGGTGAAAAGATAGACTTGTTTGAGTGACTAAATGTTGCATAAAGCTGCAAAAAAACACCTAAAAATGGAGAGTTTACCACCTCTGGATGCAAGAGACAGTCACCTTGACACACATCAATAAACAGCTATTTTTTATTTAAAGCCCTTTGGTCAATGTTCAATTCTATTCAGTTTATTTCTATAGTGCAAATTCACAACACATGTCATCTCAAGGCTCTTTCCAGTTCACCAGATCATTCAGTCAGTTTATTCAAAGTTTTCTATCTAAGG